GAAGAAAAGCTATTAGCTCTGCCCTTTCCTCTGGGTTCAATCTAGTTCCGATCTGCGTCTTTTGGCTCGGATCTCTGTCATCAATGAGCACTTCTTCAACATCTTCGATCGGAGCAGCTCTGGTTTCATCTTCCGGTCGATTATCTACGATCTCAACACCCATAACTTGCTGATTATCAGGAATTTGCTGGGGAATGGCCTCGGGTGTCTGAGCTTTGCCTTTCATGGGTTGTGTTACCGAGGTGATATAACAATGCCTGGCCACCTCCTGGTTTCCTCGCAGTGTTGCTATTCCCATAGGAGTTGGGAACTTCATATAGAGGTGAGACTGGGAAACTACAGCTCGGATTTCAGTCAGTGTGGGTCGGCCAATAACAATGTTGAAAGAGGACATCATCTTTACTACGAGGAACCGGACCGACGGGGTCACATAGGTCCTGCCACTCCCAAAAGCTACATGTAGAGTAAGAACTCCTTCTACCGGAACAGGTTGGTTGTTGAAACCATAGATAGGACCATCATATTTCTACAACAATGCTGGATCTAATCCCAGACTCTCGAAACAGTGGAAGTACATGATGTCTGGTGCACTCCCGGTGTCAACAAGGACACGCTGTACTTCACAGTTGTTAATCATGACAGAAGTGACCAAGGGATCATTGTGGGGTGTGACAACTGTATCGAGATCAGCAGACGTGAAAGTAATGGGCTGATTTTTCCACTCAACATCGTCAATCTTCCGCTTCTGAGCTCGGTTTTGATGTTTAACCTCCCTGACATACAGCTTTCGCTGCTTAGAGCTCAGTCCACCTGCTTCAAGGTCTCCTGTAATCATATGTATGGTTCTAGCTGGTGGTGGGAGTGGAGGTGGGGCTTGCTGATATCCTACACCTTGCCTATTTGGAGGATTGCGGACTCCTTGAGGCTGCGGCCTCTGTTCTCTGATAAACCTTGGCTGTTCAGTTCTCTGAACATACTCGTTCAGCATTCCCTTCTGAGCTAAATTTTCTAGTTCGGACTTTAAACTGTTACACTGCTCTGTAGTATGGCCGTGATCTTGATGAAAATCATAGTATTTGGTGTGGTCTCGACTGGCAGCAGCAGTTTTCATCGGGCCAGGATGCCTTAAATCCATTTTATTCTTGATCTGCATAAAAATTTGTGACCTCAGCAGATTAAAGGGAGTCCAATTAACTGGAGGTTTACTTGCAGATTGTTGCGGAGGTGTTGAGTTCGTCCTTCCGAATCTCATTGGGGAGGTCAACATCGGACCTCGGTTCTGCGCCATTCTCATCCTTTTCCGGCTCGGATTTTCATCTTTCCGTTCTGGGTTCTGGTTCTTAGAGGAAGGTGGGTTTTGCGCCAGGGCGTATTCCTCAGCAGTTATGAATTTCAGAGATCTGTCGTTTACCTCGCTAAAGGTGGTGGCAGCATGTTTGATCAAACTGTCTCGGAACCTGTCATGTTTGAGACTAGAGATTACAGTTGCGATGCCCACAGCTTGGTCGAAGGAATTAACCTCCAACACCGCATCATTGAACCTGCTCATGTAGTTCTTTAGAGACTCTCCGTCCCTCTGTTTAACTCGCATCAATTCGGTAGTAGTTTTCCTAATCAACCTTCTACTGGAAAACTTAGTGGCAAAAGCAGATGCCATTTCTGTGTAAGAACTAATTGACCTCGGAGGTAGATTATAATACCAAGTTCGAGCATTACCTCGTAGAGTAGAGGGGAAGATTTTGCACATTAACGCGTCAGAAGCGTTCTGAGCTTGCATACAAGAGTAGAAAGCATGTAGGTGATCATCGGGGTCCTTCGTTCCGTCATAAGTCTCCAATTGTGGTATTTTGAAACCAGCAGGATAGGGTTCTAGAGTAATGTTGGTATTCAAAGGGTGGGGTATAGAATCAGCAGCATGGTGTGGGGGTGGAGCACCTCGGTGTTCGGCTACTAGCTTCTCCAAGCTATCGAGACGGTGAGTAACATCATCAGGGATGGGTTGTTGAGCGGGTGCTATGTGGGATTGACCTTGAGATTCACTAACAGCGGGAACAGATTGAACCGGTTGAGGATTCTGTTGTGGAGCTGGGGGTTGTTGAGCAGGGTTTAGTAAATTAATGAGAGGATCGCCAGGATTATTTCTAGCTAAAAGCTGAGCCAGTACCAATTGAAAAACACCAAACTGCTGATGCATGGCAGCAAGATGAGCTGTCACCACGTCTTGGTTGGTAGTGGAAGTTGAATTGTGAGCTGAGATATGGGGTTGGTTTTCATCTCCTCCTTCTGCCTGATCAACAGGAGGGAATATGATTGAGACCTGAGGTGGAAGCTGAGGTTGGATTTGAGGTGGGATCAGAGGTGGAAGGGTGTTGGGTGGTTGACCTTGCCCATGAGGCAGAGATGAATTACCAGCTCGGACTGATCGAGTGTGAACCATGATGAAAGAGCAACTAGAAAGCTTTTAGTTCGATTCCCACAGACGGCGCCAATGTAATTGCACCAAACCTGAAGTTCTTCTTCAATCCGTGCTTGTACTCCGAGATGACCTGCAAAGCCCCGAGGTGGAACTCGGGGTAAACACTCCGATGCTTAAGTCAGCAATAATCGGGGCTACCTTTAAGGCAGAGATAAAAAGAGCTTAGGATTGGTTTCAATTACCTTTCTGAGGTGGCCTCTGGGCGTATTTATAGGATCCAATGAGGAACCCACGTGGCATGCCAAGCAAGATAATCGGAGCCTGACGTGTCCCTCCAGACGGTTATTCCGGGACCAGGAATTTGAGGGGTATTCAGATGCACGAGCGTCCACCATACTTGCTGTGCCAGTCATCGTAAGGGATCAGGTGCGGGCATGCTTATTGTCCTTGTCATGCAGCCATTTGAGCTGGAAGCTTTGGATTTATTCCTCACTTCGGTCATAAGGGAATTACTGTAGTAGTCCGAGGCTTGGCACCTCGGACCTATCCTTACAGAGATAAATATAGAAGAAATCTGGGTTTGTAGAGAGGCCATTCTGGGTTCTCTCTTAAGTCGTTCCTGTTTCTAACAAACGCAAACTCGGAGCAGACAGGATCGAACCCAAGGTGAAAGCTTAGAGCGAATTGACAATGGTGGTAACTGTCTCATCTCCATGGGGCAAGCCTAGCGCTTGGGCGCTTGACGCTGAAGAACATGAAGCCGAACTCCAACAGTTGAAGGACCAACCAAACCCCGCCCTTCCCACCAAGCAACTCATGGGGGAATCTGGGTTTGAGAAAAACCCAGATCTGGGTTTGAGAAAAACCCAGATCTGGGTTTGAGAGGAGAAGAAAAAGGCCGACGGTAGTAGTAGCAGAAGGATTAGCTTGGATTTGAAGAGGTATCGAGTGCACCGGCATTGTGCTCGTTGTTGTCGATGACGACGATCATCATTTGCTTCTCGGTTGTTTGAGAAAACCCAAGGCTTGGGTTTGTAGAGGTAAGAGAAAAGGAAAGGTAAAGGAGAAAGAAAATGAAGGAGGAAGAA